GGACACAACATCTTTGTTGGTATGTGGTGCTGAGGATCGAACCCGGGCCGCATGCATGCTAGGCGAGCGCGCTACCGCTTGAGCCACATCCCCAGCCCAGGCTGAATACTTTGTATCTAAGAAACTAATTTGTGCTAAAGAATTTGATTTTACCTCTTCTAAGGGAATTGACATTCTAGAAGAGTAGTGTGCAGAGGGCAATGTTTAACCTTATGGAGAGGTTCAGATGATGGGCTGTCAGGCACTGCTAGATAAGTGTTAGATTCTGGAGACATAAGGTAGTAGTGACCCTTATTATTTTACTATTTAAATGACCACAACTTTCATTCTTAGGCATGGACCACCTGAATTCATCTTTACATTCAGAATAGGGTAAGGAAGAGCATAAAGGCCCATATTTTAAGTAAATGACCCCAAAGCACACAACCTGAACAAAGGAGGAAGTACAGACTGGCCATGGGTGGCTGGCTTCTAATCACCACCCATGCTCTCTGCAGCTTTATTCCATCAAGTGCTGACCCAAGTGTGCCTGATCTTATCCTCATACTCTAATATTAGGCCTAATGAGAAAAAAAAAATGGAACTCCAAACAAGTGACTTAGTAGTCCTGGTACCAGAGCCCATCCTGGTTCTAGAACTCAAGAGACAAGAAATCCCTCCTTTGTCCTCATTTATTGAAACTTCCCCTAAGGATTTTGAGGGAAGAGAATGTTAGGCCAAAAGGGAGAGAATTAAAATCAAACAATCAAAAAATCACCCCAAACCCAAGATCCAAGCAGAATTAGGTACTGCCAGAGAGCTCATCTTCCTTACTTACTCCTCTTTTTCATGTGATCCTCAAAATGTGGGCATTTTCCCCAGACTCAGTTCTTAGCTGCTGCTTTCCTATTTCAACCATGTTCTTGGAGAGCACATTCATTGCTGTCACCCATACATACATGACTTCTAAATCAGTCAATTCTAAGGCCCCAAGGGCCATCTCAGTATGAATATCCCACTACTATTTTAAACACAATCTAAAATCAAATCATTCTTCCATATACCTAATTCTTATTAATAGTGACAATGTCTTTAGTTCCCTAGATTTGCCTAAATAACTACACTTCTGTAAGAATTCCCTTTGTTCCCTCCTTTCCCCCACATATCCAGGCTATCATTTAGACCTGATGGAACTTATGGATATTTTTTCAGGGTCTTATCTACTCTCATTCATGGTACATTGTTTTCTGTTATGTTTTGTGATTTTTATTAGCTTTGAGCTAATCTTTGCTGGGGATTCTCTGGTCAGCAATACATTGTGTCGAGGTTGAAGGCATGTTTCTCCTGAGTGTTATTTTTTAAGGCTTTTATTCATTTTCAGGATTTCTTATTTTTTTACATATTTTTATGGGTGCATTATTCTTGTACATAATGGTGGGATTTGTTTTACATATTTGCAATGCCCAATATACAATATAGTTTGGCCAATATTCTCCTGAGCAGTTTTATATTTGCTTTTGTCAGGCACTCTAAGAGTATCACCTGATGGCCATAGATTTTTTGTTAAGCTCTTGACTTACCGGCTCCTGTACCATGCAGGTGTTCAAATTCCAGCTCAAGTAGTTATAATTTTTCAGAGGCAGTTCCTCCTATTCCAGTCAGGAGCCAGGTCAGGACAAACAAGAAATAAACTCCCTCCCCATACCTTCCAAGGCTTGTCTTAACACACCTCAAACTTAACATTTCTTGATCTCAATTCCCTTGTTTTGATCCATGTAGATTTTCTTTCTTTTCTTGCAAGCTCAGTTAAACACTTTAGGAATTGTCTGTTACTTTTTGCGAAGCAGTCCACATATTGTGTAGCAGAAGGATCTTTGGGTTATCTGGCTGACAATACTGTTGAAAACTGAAGACAGAAAATGTTGAATCTTTTACTAAAGTATTCCCCACATTTATCCTCTGGGTATCTATCACCAATATCTGGGTTCAAGCTACCTTTTCCACATTCACACACACAACTTGGCTATGTCAATCACATAACATACCATAATAACACTGTACTTGGAAGGAGCTTAGAAGTACATGTTGTCCAACCCTCACTGTATAGAAAAAAAATTGAGGCCCAAGAGGTTTGGGGGTTTTCTTAAGGGCACACAGAGACTAAAGTGGGTCTTCCCATTGCAAGACCAGTGCATATCCTTATGTCCACACATTCCCCAATATTATTGAGTGACTGCTATATGCTGGGTCATTGGTTCCCAACTCCTTTACTTTCCATTTCACCTGAGGAATTCAACACACACACACACACACACACACACACACACACACACCATACGCATCAGTAATAAGCTCACTCAAGTCTGGATTCCCATACTATAGAGATGGGGAAGCATCTTTATGATCGAGGTATGGGAAAGAGTTTGAAAAAGCAACCAGAATGTCTGCTGTTTCCTCCCCCTTCACTCCAACCTCCATGCCTTATTTGAGACAAGCCAGATATAGCCAGTTTGGACTATTCCAAAGTGCTTCCATTGTCCCTCTGCCTCATTTTCTCTCCTTGCATCCCACACAGAATGGCTCTATAATAAAAATCCTTGAAGCACCATTCATAGCATGATAGACCAAGACTTCACCCTCCTACAAAGATAAATACATCCCTGCCATCAAATCCCCCCATATCTGACTCAAATTCATCTTCCAACCTCCATCATCATTTTCCCCTTTGTTCTTTGTCCTCTCATCTCTCCCTCTCTCTCCACCTGTTATCCAAATGCTCTCACCTGTGAAAACAGACAAAAAAAAAACCCCCAAAAACAGAAGGAAGGAAAGAGAAAAGAGAAGAAGGAAGGAAGGCAACTTGGAGAGCATGAAGCTGAAAAAGAGAAGGAGGATGAAGGGTCAAGAAGGAGAGACAGGAAGAAGCAGAACAGAGGCCTTCATCCAACTGTGGGACCACATCTCTGGCTAGTCCAGGCCCGTCCAATTATTGATAAGCCTGTGATTCTGTATCTCAGCTTTGGGACTCCAGATGTATCTGTCACTGAGCTCTCTCTTTGGGTTTCTCTGGCCCACATGGAGTGGGAATCAGTTTAACATTTTTAGAACAGTGGTTCCCATAACAACCAAGCAGGAACTGTTGTCTGTGAAATGTAGCATGGTCACACATGCGCATATATACACATACATGCACACATGCATATGCCTTCACACATGCACACAAACAAATACATGTGCTTGTACTTACTCAAATACACACACCACACATGCACATACTCACATGCCCTTACACACATCCATAAGCATACACAGGCTTGTATATATGCACTTATAGAAAGACACCCACATACAGACATATATTCACATGCACATACATACATATGCATCATACATATACACACATTCACAAAAGCACACTTACTCATATATAGCATGTACCAAATTGTTTCC